ACACTTCCTTCTTACGACGAGCATGTATAGGCTGCGAAGGAAACAAAAAACAATTTACTGACCTGTGTTTGTTAGCAAAGCTTAATTTTGCAATTTTTTAGAATGATCAGGAACAGCGTGTTTTAAACGAACAGGATGTACGAAAACCAGACATGTTACAACAAAAACTTCCTCAATGTTTTTGGCAAACACAAGCACCCTTATGAAAGAATATGCGATTTGCACATAACAGATGTGTCACAAAATATGCTTAAATAGGGCTCCTGCATAGTGCGTATGCATGCCGATTCAGTGATAGGATATACATATATGACGCTATGAACTTTCATCAAGTATTCATTGCAGGTAACATAAAAGAAATTATGAAATCAATTTGAACACAGCTAATGTAACTTTGTTCCGGCTGCTCAAATTGGGATGATTATACCTAGAATATCAAAAATCGGTTTCACTAAATTACTATCGTCTGCTGCTAAATTATGGCTAAGAGCTTCAATTTTTCCAGGTGCAAAAAAGGCAGTACACGTCACTCATCCCTCGCATAACCCTCATTACAAGCTGTCTAATGAACAATGGTAAAAAATGTGGAAATGTCAAGACATACAAGGCGCCCATCTTGAATAACATACTATCCCAATGAAGCATCGAAGCTTTTGCAACGATGTCCGGTAACCAGAACAATGGAAGCTATTGGTTGCGATTTAGCAGTACACAAAAAAACATTTGATGAGACTGATTTCCAAAGTTGTGTAATTGCTTCATTGCCAACAGCTTGGAATCACGCAGTCTATATTCATGATGCTCAGATAAATACATCATCTAATTTTACACTTTCACAGTAACACGTACCTGCCTTCTGTAGGCCTACCATGATATTTATTAGTATTGCAAGTTTTGCACATAAATATATATTCGTTTCTTCAAACATCAAATATCTCTCGCCCCTCCGCGGTAGTCTAGTGGCTATGGTATTCGGCTGCTGGCCCGCAGGTCATGGGATCGAATCGTGGCTGCGCCAGCCGCATATGCGATGGAGACAGAAATATTATGGGCCCGTGTGCTCAGATTTGGGCGCACGTTAAATAACCCCAAGTGGTCAAAATTTCCGGAACCCTCTACTATACGGCGTTTCTCATAACCATGTGGAGGTTTTGGGACGCTGAACGTCAAATATTAATAAATTAATCAACACCAAATTCCTTCAACACCCGTACCGCATGCCTAGAGAACTTACTTTAGGTTGTCATCTGCTGTAAAAACAATTAAAACAGCATGCTGAGCACGAATAAAAGCAAATAAATGCTTGACGTCTTCGCTTCCGCATAGCAGCCTTATTCACAAGTGACAATCATTGTGCTTTTATTCATAACCAGTCTGCGGTTTTTCAGTGTTTTCATGTGTGTTTCTGACCAGACAGGTTTAAGCTTGTCATTGATTAGGAAATGTCTTTGGAGGTGGTGGTCTAAACTGTTTCTACTGTTCGTACAAGTAAAAATGTTTAGCAAAGTTTGAACACCAAGGTTGGGCGAGGCACATACAATATTTATTAAACCACAGCGAAATATCAAAATCCAAGCATCGTGAAAACAAGCTGAACTAACGGACTAATGATCAAATTAGGACTCGCACAGTTAGGCTACAGCTATTCGGCCCAATCAGCCATGAAAAGTTTGTTCGAAAACGCACTTCAAGTTTAACGAACGGCTCGAAATTCACGGGTTCCGGCCGCGTCGGGAAACCTGTATTGTGGGTGCATCTCGTAAGCTCGGATTTCACTAAACGGGCTGCATAAACACCTAAATGTCAGTGCAAGCTTTGCAAGCCCTACCCAAAACGAGGCAACAAGCTGCACGCGAACTCGAGTAACAGGGTAATTCGAAGATGCGTGCCGGCGCGGATGCATACACAGACATACGTTCGGCTACCCACAAAAGTTTCTGATAGTAGTTTAAAAAAAGACGTACAACATATAAACTGTCTTGGACACGTGCAATCCTAAAGCACACAATATAAACAGGCAGGAAAAAAATACCCAAGTTAGCAAATCCAAGCATACGTGTCCTAGACTTGATCAACGCTTACAGCTAACAAATGCCGTTTTTGCCCAGCAATCACTTAACCAAAATATTAGTCTATCGCGAGCAGGGCTCCCTTCCAACACCACTGCTGGCAGAGGCAGGCGCCGCCACAACTCTGCCTAAATTTGCTACCGAATTCTCACTGCGCACGCGTGCACTCGCTGCTTCGCACACCGAAGCTTGCTTCAATCGAACAAAAAAACTCGTTCGCGCTTAACTGCCCTATCATTTGCCTTGAGCCTAAATAAATAACACACACAAACAGGTTCACTACGTTAACAAAGCTCACTTGTCGTCCACATGTTACGAAAAACGAAGCACGGTGTCGTTGCCGCGCTCTCGGTGTTAAAAAAGCACTGACAGCCAAAATATGGTACATACCTGGCGAGTGCTCCACAATACGACGCCATGCGTTCCTCGCTTGAGTATAGCTCATCTTCGTAATAAGCAGCACCGGAAGAACACAAAACACGAACACAGAGCGCACAGAACTCAAAAACGAAAAACGTGATGTAAAACCGACCCCCTGTGAGGCGGCCGACACGAGATCCCAAAGCCCAAGCAGGTAACTTGGTTACGTCCCCGCTGACGCGTTTGCGCACTAAAGGAGCTTTAGAAATGTATTTAAAAATAAAAAGTGTACCAAAATATAGACTACGTAAATACCAGAAGCAAAAAATATATTTACTTCCACAAAACAATAGAAGTAGAAATTTGGGGGCACGAAATTTGAAACTTTTGCAGGTACAACACAGTTTGAAACGAATGAACAAATGCGGCAATAATCACCATAAAACACTCATGTTTATTGCATTCAAAATATATCATTGCTGATGCAGACATGTACGGGAGAGATTTTATTGCAATAATCAATGCGATTTGCGACTTTTAGCTGTCCCTACGACATTTAACTACGACTTTTAGCTGTCCTGGCCGTTTCAATCTTGGTATCGATACCAAACTGGGTATCGCGTATGAAGAACACATTTGACTAGTTATAACATGAAAATCTCGACGAATGTGTCACGAATGTCCTAACTTACATTTCATGATCTTGTAACTCTTGCGGTGGTTTTGTTTACATAGCATAATTTAAAACTGCTATGGTATGGCATGATTGCATGGCGAACACAAGCGACAGACCCTAACATGAAATTCGTGACATGCGTGTCATGTAACAACATGACTTCATGCCACGCTCATGAAGCGCTCGTGGCCGTTTCGTTGGCATCACATATACCAAATTTGGCATTAGAGTACGTGAATGGATGAAGAAGGTGTGTGACTCAAAATGCAGCATGTTATCGACGCGAAATCCAGCATGTTGCATTTGGTGCCGGTTGCCATCGGGCCGTGCCGACAGACCCTGGTCACGCCTGGCATCAGAATTTAAGTGCTCGCGTTTTGCTAACGTATCATCGCTGTGCCCAGCGTGCGCGCGTGTCAACGTTACATTGGAGTATAAAGGGCCCTTCATGATGCGCTCGCGGTCGTTTTCCTAACTCCACATGTACCAAATTTGGTGTTACGTGACATCAATAAATGACGAAATATATATTTTGCGCATGCAAACATTATAATTCTGACACACGTGTCATGTAAGAACATGACAGCATACCACGCTCATAGCGTGCTACCGGCCGTTTCGCTAGCTGCACACATACTAAATTTCGTGTCACGTGATGTTAATAGATGACGAAAGTAAATGGTGCATTCAAACATGATAATCATGACACGGAAGTCATACACGCCACCATTCACCTTCAACTCGTGACGTTTTGCAGATTTTAATCAGACATAACAAAATTTCTCATTCGTGATTTGCATATAATCGATTTCCACAGTACGTTGGATCTGCCAGCTTTTTATTTGCATGTTCTTTAATTTTTACACCATGCACAAGATAATTTTTCCCTCACAACCAAAGGCGCGTATGCTAACGCCAACACTGACACCAGAATTTGGTAAAAACAAACTCTTTAACGACCTCGCGTCAGAAAGTTGATTGATTGATATGTGGGTTTTACTGTCACAAAACCACCATAAGATTGTGAGACACGCCGTAGTGGAGGGCTCCGGAAATTTCGACCTCCTGGGGTTCTTTAACGTGCACCCAAATCTGAGCACATGGGCCTACAACATTTCCGCCTCCATCGGAATTGCAGCCTCCACAGCCTGGATTCGATCGCATGACCTGCGGTTCAGCAGCCGAGTACCTTAGCCCCTGGACCACCGCGGTGGGGCCTCACGTTAAAAAGTCTCAGCTATATTACTCGCACAATTACAGAAATGACAATAAGAAACCACTGACAGCTTATTATGTAAGGTTCTGTGATTTGAAGTATGTAAACCAATCCCAATACGTTGTTTTCAAATCGAGCACGTATGCTTTGAAGAATCAAGACACATGCTTTTGTGTACTCAGCTGTAGTAATGAAATAAACACAGCTTTTTTAGTTAAAAAATTGTAAGTTAGAGGTTTTTTGAACAAACATAAACGTTTGAAGCTCTTTTATTTGCTTTATTTATCAGATTGTCCGTACCACCCAGTGGTGTTAGAGCAGGTTACATCCAGACATGAATACGAATACGCGCGCACTGATATTACAACTTCATATACTAATAAATACATATTTCTTCACGTTATAGCATGGGGTCACGTCCTGATATATAACCTAAACAACAAACTTTAAAATGTATCGAAGTTGCTATTTTCAAAATATATTTAGCAAAGCTCATGTAGCGAGTGTGCGCCTTTCGTTGTGGTAGATTTTAGAGTGTACATGTAAACAATTTAAGAACAGTTAGTATGTTTTCTGCTATTTTGCAGAATAATGAACATTGATAAGATGTTCTTTCCATTAGCAGATGTTTAGAATTGCGGAACGAACGTTTGATAATATAGAAATACGTAAGGCTCACCTGGAGGGTGCACTAGCATTGCGTCAAGAGCGCCTTTTTTAGCAAAAGGGCTGGCTTTTATGAATGTCCCTTCCAAAGTTTCATTGATCCTAAAAGTTTTGTCATTGTGTGAGCACAAAGTAGCGATTCAAAATAGTGAATGATAATGTCTCACCATTGCTTGCCTAAACAGTAATGCCTTTCAAAGAAAACGGAAGTCTTAGACTTATTAGCCACCAAATCGACTTTACATGTAACGTTGCTTTGTGTTGTTAGCATAGTCCATATAGTCGTGTTGTCCGTGTAAAACTGTAAAGGAAAGAATGGGAAATATATGTGAGCATCACATCTAGTTACGCACAATATAATTCTAAAGGATGGTAATAATAAAACTGTTCAATGCACAGAAAGCGAGACATCGATTGCGAATGCAAGTGCAAAGGCGAAAATTGCCAGGGCTATTCGTGCAAGATAAAGTGAGCTTCTTACCCCTTATTGTAGCATAGATTGATGTTGTAGTCACTTCATCGCTCCAGAATCATGCATAGGCCCAAGTTTAGCAAGCTTGGGCGTTACGAATGCACGTGGCAGTGCTTGCCTCGATTTCAATGTCATGCGATGCTCGCCTGCACTTAAATTGCCTGTTACAGGTCGCTGAACTAACCCAAGCATCTTCCGCATAGTGCCCACCGTTTGTTTTGATGAGTTTGCTATTTTTTTGAAGCGATGTTCGATTGAAGGAAGAAGCTTGTCAGGTTTTTGATTTTCATGAAACCGTGCCTCAAGACCAGCGAACTAGCATGGCCTATGCCTATTGGCTTGCGAACGGTTCGCTTTGCACTACCCATTTATGGCCGGCGCGTTGATGGCGGCGCTGGTGGCGGAGTTTTTCGCAGCGCAGCCTGAACAGACTCGGACGTCGATAAAGAGGGATACACTTCCACATGAGGGGAAAATAAAAACACATCGTTGTTGTTTTCCTGCATGTCAAGGCTATGCAGTTTCCGGTTCTTCTGGCTGATTTCAGTAACAGCCCTGTGATGTTTACTCTGTTGAATTTGTATTGAAAGATTCTGTCAAATTTAAAGCGAATATGTTTAAAGAATGTGTCTTCCTCAGACGGTGACCAAAAGAAGAAAGCGAATTTCACTAAAACTTTTGTGCATTAGTAACGTTTCCATACCTGTCACGCTCTCCTAGAAACCAATCAAGATCTCCGAACTTGTTATTTAATTATTTATTTATTTATCATTCACTTATGTATTCATTCTTTATTTTTCTATTTACTTATTTGTCTTTTTATTTTTTTAACGTACCTGCTCCATCCCCTAAAGGCATTATTTCACGGACGACACACTGGACAACTTATGCCTATATAAAAATTATAACTATGGAAGCAAGATCAAAACAAAAACTGCAAAAAGATATGTAGCTGTGAGTGCAACAGTATACCTGTGAACAATGTTTCTGTGCGAGAATCTACCATCTCCTTTGAAAGCTTACTGCAATGTTGGATTGTGTGTGACAAAAAACCAATACTGTAATACGTTTGTGCTGCAAAAACTTTTACTTATTTTTAGAGAATGGTCACTTCTGTTAGATAGAGAGGCGAAATGTGAAGTTTTTATTCATTTCAACCCTTCCCTGCAAATGTTTGAAAACAGAATATAAGGTAACGTTTCTTTTTCTTCACAATGTTGGCGATTGTATTTACACATTGCGCGGAATGATAATTACAACTGACAAAAGGAACTGCACGGCGTCGTACTCGCTCGAGCATATTACATACGGTTTTCTTTGTGGATCCCAAGTCGCACAGACATACTGCAGTATAGTTTCAGCAGTGAAATACTTGTGTAATTTTGCGATTTTGGAAGGATTTAAGCGGCAACCATGTTCAGCTAAACCTATTGTAGTACAAGGTCGCACTGCAACATACTGAATCTGCTTATTCCTAGGAATATTCGGTCCAACTGAAAACCAAGATGTTTAAAACCAGTTCCTCGCGTTAGCTGGATGGTGTCTCACGTTTAGTCGAACAAGTCAGCAGCGTGTTTACCAGTGAAGGAGACGCATTCACGCTTACTAGCGTTCGAAAAGATACGCCCTCTCATTGTGTTCGTTTTTGCATGCCCTGTCTATTATAATAGTGTGTGCGTACCAATTAGCTCAGATGTTAGTTATTATACGGCACTAAACACACCAGTGCATCATACTATCTAGCTTGCATTTCAAGTACTGATGGTTAGAGACAGATCTAATCTAATAGTAAATCGCGCAATCAAGTAAACGAGGAGGCGAAGTTTGTAGAAAATATTCTGACCAATACATGTACACTGAAAACAGCAAAGACTCCAAAATAAATCTCTGAGGGACCCTCGAATTCAGTAACGTGTTCAGTTTGAGAGCCATTATTACGAGACGTTGCCTTTGATTTTGTAAATAACACCTCATCCGATGAAGCGATTCAGAGGTAATACGCCGCAAAGAAGTTTTTGTTACAGGAAAGTATGGGGAAAGGAATGGCACGCTCTTTAAATGGTCTAGGAGTATAAGTCAGTCCAGTTACCAATCGTTAGGGAATGAAAAAAAAGTGTCGCCATATTCACGAAGTATATGATGATGAGTGGGCGAAGCTCTGGAGATAAACCTGGTAAACCATGAATCCTGCATACATTTTGCCCACTCAATTTTATTACAACGCTCCCCCTAGCGTACGTTGCCGCATTATATCAAACGATTGCCTTCCACCAATGTCATGCACCATACGTGACATCATTCCTATTTTATAACGTCTCGCAACTCCCATTATCAACCAAAACTACCACCGTCTAGTTTCTCACATCTTGCTTCTTTTCATGGATGGATGGATGGATGGATATGGCTTATTGAACCAAAAACTAGATTTATTTTTTTCCTTAAGAACTGAGTTTGAGGATTCGTGAAGAGTTTAATTTTCAGTCGTGCTTTGACTTTAGCCACCAATAAAATAACCTCCTTCTAGTTAAGTCTACCCACTTAAAGTGTATTTTGCCCTCCCGGTCGCTAAACCCCAGTGCTTTGAAAAACTCTGCGCCATCATCCTGAACTATAGGTTGGAGTCTTTTACAGAACATTATCAAGTGTTCGGCAGTTTATTCTACCTCTCCACACGCACTGCATACTGTGTCTACCCCTTCGTATTTGGCTCGATATGTCTTGGTTCACAGTACTCCCGTCCTGGCCTCAAACAGTAGACAACTACCCCGAGTATTATCATAGATCCTTTCCTTGGCAATTTCCTGCTTGAAAGTTCGATAGATCTCTAGTGCGGACTTCTTAATCATGCCCATTCTCCACATGTCAGTCTCCGTTTCCTTCACTTTCTTCCTAACCGATAGTTCTTTTTTGTTTGGCCACCTGTGTTTTCTAAGTATTTACCAGTCAACTTCCTGGTTCGCTTCCTTCATTTTGTATTGACATTCTTCATGTACAAGTAGCTGAAAACCTTCCTAGCCCAACGCTCTTCCCCCATTTCTCTCAATCGCTTCTCAAATTTTATCTTGCTGCTAGCTTCCATGCCCTCAAATGATGTTCATCCCATATAACCTTGTACTTCCTGATTTGGTGTATTCCCGTGAGCTCCTAAAGCAAGCCTACCTATTCCACGTTGCTTAATTTTTAATCTTGTTGAACTTCTGAACTCATGCACAAGACCGCATTGCCGAACGTCAGCCCAGGAACCATGACCCCTTTCCATATTCCTCTCACAACATCATGCCTACTGTGATTTCACAGTGCCCTATTTTTCATCACTGCTGCATTCCTGTTACCTTTAGTCGTCACGTATATTTCGCGTTCCCTCAAGTACTCGGCCCCATTGCCTATGCATACAGCCAGAAATTTCTATTTATCTGTTATCTCAAGCGTGACCTCCAGTAGCTCATTACCTTCATTCTCATTAAAAATCATGACTGCTGGTTTTTCCTTACTGAATCTGAAATATAACCTACCTCCCTCATTACCCCAGATGTCCATAATTCTCTGCAAATGTTCCTCGTTGTCGGCCTTTAGCACTATATCATCTGCAAATCTTCCTTGTTGTTGGCCAATAGCACTATATCATCTGCGTACATCAATGCTGGTAGTGCCTGTTCAATGAGTTTTCTTTGTTTACCGAAAGAGAGGTTGAAGCCCAGTCCACTTCCCTCTAATTTTGCCTCTAATCCTTGTATGCACATCATGATAATAAGGGCGACATAGGACACCCCTGCCTAAGCCCCGTTATACATCTGCAATCTTGGATACCTGTTTTTCCCACTTTATAACTACCTTGTTACCTTCATAGATATCTTTTAAAAGATCAGTGACTCCATCTTCCACGCCTAGTGTGTCCAGTATTCCCCACAATTCCTCCTGAACCACGCTATGGTACGCTCCCTTGATTTCCAAATATGCTAGCCACAGGGGCCTGTGTTCCTTTTTCCTACTTTGATGCACTGCGTCAGTGAGAGCAGGTTGTCTTCCAACCTCCTCTGTATCCGAAACCCATTCGGCAGTTCTCCTAGCACCCCCGCATCCTCTATCCATGCCTGCAGTCTTTCCTTCATAATCTGCATTGCAGCCTGTAGACCACTGATGTCACTGTTGTAGGATGGTAGTTGCTTATGTAAGCTTTGTCCCCCTTTCCTTTATAGATCATATTCATCTTGCTAAGTTTCCATCCCTAGAGGACTTCACCATCGATTATTATTTTGCTCCCTGCCTCTCTCAAAGCCTGCTTAGGCTTCGAACCTAATTTCTTTAACAACATATTCGGAATGCTATCTGGGCCTGTTGATGTACTACTAGGAACCATCTTCTCAGCCCTTTCCCACTCTCGTTGTTAAAATTGAGCCTTTGCGCCACTTGATTCTTCCTTGTCTATTGTGGTGCATAAAGCACTTCTTTGTTGAAATTTTTCGGTCACCATTGTTCGTATATATTCAATTGCTTCTCCCCCTCTTAGCCTAGCACCTTGAATTGTAGTTATAAGCCTCTGCTCTATGCCCGTCTCATTTCTTAGGGAGTTTAGATGGTTCCGAAATATCGCAGTTGCCTTTCTATCTTTTTATGTACTTCTGCCAGCCACTGAGCCCCTTTTCTTCTAATGTTTTCATTGATCAGAATGGAAGCATTCCTTCTACAGCTTAGAAAGATTTCCCATTTTCTTTTAACATCATCTCTCGGTTGACTCCGCTGCTTAGCATGTCTCTGTTCCTTAGTTCCTTAGTGGCTTCCTGACGTTTTGCTATCGCTCTCTTAACTTCCTCATTCCACCAACTTTTGGG